CTGAGCTGAAAGCTCAAGTGAGCTTTTCTGATCACATTTTGTCCGGCGTCCGTCTGTCTGTCCGTCTGTCTGTCTGTCTGTCTGTCCGTCTGTCTGTAAACTTTTCACATTTTCGACTTCTTCTCAAGAACCACTGGGCCAATTTCAACCAAACTTGCCACAAAGTATCCTTGGGTAAAGGGGATTCAAGTTTGTTCAAATGAAGGGCCACACCCTCTTTCAAGGGGAGATAATTAGGAATTACTGAAAAAATGATGGAATCATTTAAAAATCTTCTTCTCAAGAACCATAGGGCCAGGAAAGATGAAACTCACTTGGAAGCATCCTCAGGTAGTGTAGATTCAAGTTTGTTCAAATCATGATCCCCGGGGGTAGGGCGAGGCCACAATGGAGGATCAAAGTTTTACGTAGAAATATATAGGAAAAATCTTTAAAAATCTTCTTCTCAAGAACAGCAAAGCCATGATGAGTCAAATTCATGTGGAAGCATCCTCAGGTAGTGTAGATTCAAGTTTGTTCAAACCATGACCCCCGGGGGTAGGGCGGGGCCACAATGGAGGATCAAAGTTTTACATAGAAATATATAGGAAAAATCTTTTAAAATCTTCTTCTCAAGAACAGCAAAGCCATGATGAGTCATATTTATGTGGAAGCATCTTCAGGTAGTGTAGATTTAAGTTTTTTCAAACCATGACCCCTGGGGGTAGGGCGGGGACACAATGGAGGATCAAAGTTTTACATAGAAATATATAGGAAAAATCTTTAAAAATCTTCTTCTCAAGAACAGCAAAGCCATGAAGAGTCATATTTATAGGGAAGTATCCTCAGGTAGTGTAGATTCAAGTTTGTTAAAACCATGACCCCCGGGGGTAGGGCGGGGCCACAATGGAGGATCAAAGTTTTACATAGAAATATATAGGAAAAATCTTTAAAAATCTTCTTCTCAAGAACAGCAAAGCCATGATGAGTCATATTTATATGGAAGCATCCTCAGGTAGTGTAGATTCAAGTTTGTTCAAACCATGACCCCCGGGGGTAGGGCGGGGCCACAATGGAGGATCAAAGTTTTACATAGAAATATGTAGGAAAAATCTTTAAAAATCTTCTTCTCAAGAACAGCAAAGCCACGATGAGTCATATTTAAAGGGAAGCATCCTCAGGTAGTGTAGATTCAAGTTTGTTCAAACCATGACCCCCAGGGGTAGGGCGGGGCCGCAATGGAGGATCAAAGTTTTACATAGAAATATGTAGGAACTAGAACTGTCCAATAGGGACAAATACCCCCCGCTGGGTTTTTCAGAGAAAGTACCAAATCACTAATGTTTTCTAGATGTGAGAGGTGTTCACAATTTCCTTAAACATTTCCAGTGAAAATTTAATTACTCATTATATTTTTTATATGTCCGTCTTAAGACGGGACGTATTATGTTATAGCGTTCATGTCCCTCCGTCCGTCTGTTAGATTTTTCATGTCCGGCTTATTATTTAGTCTTATTTTTTTCATTATGTTCTTTACAGCAATCTGTAACAAGAAAAATTCCACCTCTCCCATGGGTGTAATGATCAGGCACTGGTCAAGGAAAATTTTGATAGCAGAAAATTGCATGTCAAATTAGAGATAAATTAATGAGTTTAGTGTGAGGTGATAACTGGTAGAGCATCTCTGATCAAGCAGGTGTTATCTACATCTCTTGGGAAATGGGCAAAAGGAATCAGTCTCTTAATTAATTGCTTGTGTTGTATTGAATTGTTCTTGTTGGCTAGTCTTACTTTCAAGATAAATTTGATGTAATTAAAACTAATTTGATATTGTTTATAATAATTAAAACTTATATGATATTGTATAATATAATTTAAACTAATTATTTATTGTACATTTTTTATTTGAATTTTTATATCTTTACAACAAATTGCATACTGCCTTGTCTCACTAAGATGTCATTCGACCAATTGAATCTAAACTGTTTATGATAATTTAACAATATTTGATGGCCGTATAATGCTGTGGTGGGGCACTTTATTTTAATGAATGAAACTAAGGTGCAGCCTAATAAAATATCAACACTAATAATTACAGTGTTTTTTATTACATTGAAAAAATAGTTTGCAACTATCTGTCATCTTTGTGAGACATGACACTCTGCAAATTGATTGTTGAAAAAAAAATATCATAATTAATTATACAAAATCAAATTGATTTTAATACCTTTATATCAAACTCATTTTAAAAATAAAAGGCTGGTTTTAGTAACTATGTATTTTGACAGACATAAATAACAATTAAGAGACTTAGACAACAGAGATCTTTATTTCTTTCTGCCCAATTCCCCGGAGATACAGATAAGACCTGCCTGATCAGAGATGCCCTAACAGCTTCCCACACTGAACTCATTAATTAATCTTTAACTGGATGCATGTCCACTCATTACTCCCAAGGGACAAATGGATTTACACTATCTGCTGTGTAATGTAAAAACTGTTTTTAATACTTTGTGGGGTTTTTTTTAGTTCTAATGAGTAGTTTTAAGCTGTAGTTCACATTTTTGTACAGATGTTCTAGATTCTATGTCTCAAACCTTAGACATGAACCCGAAATGACTAAGTCAATAAAAATTTAAAAAAAACACCTGTAAAATGCAGAAAAATTATCAAATAATGTTGAAAATACCAGGTGAACATCTTCATATGTTAAATAATAAGTGTACAAATTTTCATACAAATCTATGCAATAGTTTCTGGGAACAGATCCAGACAAAACCACATAATAAAAATGAAAAAACACCTGTAAAATGCAGAAAAATTACCCAATCATAATGAAAATACCAGGTGCACACCTTCATATGACGAATAATAAGTGTACAAATTTTCAGACAAATCCTTCCAACAGTTTCCAAGAAATGGTCAGGACAAAATCTCGTCTACAGACAGACGGACAGACGGACAGACAGACGGACAGACAGACGGACATGCTGATTCCAATATACCCCCCCTAAACTTCGTTTGCGGGGGGTATAAAAATCTTTAAAAATCTTCTTCTCAAGAACAGCAAAGCCATGATGAGTCATATTTATATGGAAGCATCCTCAGGTAGTGTAGATTCAAGTTTGTTAAAACCATGACCCCGGGGGTAGGGCAGGGCCGCAATGGAGGATCAAAGTTTTACATAGAAATATAAAGGAAAATATCTTCTTCTGAAGAACTGCAAACCATTATTAGTCATTTTGATATGGAAGCATCTTCAGGTAGTGTAGATTCTATTTTGTTCAAATGATGACCCACAGGGGTAGGGTGGGGCCCAATGGGGGATGGAAAGTTTTACATAAGAACATATAGAAGAAATATTTCTTCTCAAGAACAGTAAAGCTATGTTTAGTCATATTGATATGGAAGCATCCTCGGGTAGTGTAGATTCAAGTTTGTTCAAATGATGACTCCTGGGATAGGGAGGAGCCACAATGGGAGATCAAATTTTTACAAAGGAATATATGGGAAATTTTTTAAAATCTTCTCAAGTACAACAAAGCCATTTGTTACATTGACATGGAAGCATCATCAGGTAGTTTAAAATTCAAGCCCCCCCCCCCCCCTTCCCGGTCTTTTCAGTACTGAACTGATTTGTGCTTTTGCCAAGCCAATGTGCTCAGGTGAGCGATGTGGCCCATGGGCCTCTTGTTTATGGTTTGGGCTTTATGTTATTTTTATGGTTTGGGTTTATATTACACACACACACACACATATATATATATATATATGTGTGTGTGTGTGTGTGTGTGTGTGTGTGAGTTACCAAAATTCGTGTAACTGGTTCAGCTATTCAAGTGAATAAGCTGAACCTTAGTTTACCACTGACATATTTCGCATGTCGCACTATGAAGGACAACAACAGATAGCTATAGGTCACCTTTGATTCAGGTGACCTAAAAATACAGAATGGCAGTTTTTTTTAATGCATTATTGACATTTGAAAAACAAAACCAAGCTCTAAATCAATCTTTATAAGCTACCCTGGATCGAATTCCTTATAAAAACAGTAGCTTTCATAAACCTTATGCCCATCATCTCAAGCAATAAATTCTGTACAGAAAAGAAAATTAATCCCAAATGAATTCCTCATATTGAATGGATATAGAAACAAAGAAACATACATTTCCAGGCCTTTAATGCTTGGATCATTGGCACGCTTGACACAGTTTTTTTCATTAATTAAACCCCCTTTAATATATACATGTAAAGAGAAGATATTGACTTTATTAAATGACATCATCCTAACCAGATACAATATATTCATCCTCAATGGTAACCTTATCCCATTTCTCTTTACATTAAAGAAGAGCAAATCAATAATCACTTCTATGAGAATTTCAGTCATAGGTAATCTTTCATCTCTGATATACTTCTTTTTCAGTAACACTGATTTTTTAAAATTGTTAAATTCTCCATTCCATGCCTTGCCATTATCTCCTGAATTGGAGTCAAATACATATATTAAAATGCTATAATGACAGCCTTTTATGGCAGGTGTAACATTGATCTTTCTAGCACTTGGCACGTGTTGGGAAAGAAATTAAAACAATTAAAACAACTCCAGGTGGTATTTGTAGTAATGCAGTACTTAACTTCAAATCAATCTCAGCTCTGACAAAGGCATCCAATAAGATTTATTAAATTACAATTCATTAGTGGCCAGTATTATATTTTGTTAATTGGGAGAGGGAGGGAAAGAAGGGCCAAGGATTCCTTTAATGTCAAAAAATAGAAAGTTTTTCCAAAACTGATTACTTTTCAATAACTTCTGTTTTTCCATCATTTTTTTCTTTTTTCCTACTGAAAGTAGAATCATTTATCAATTTTCAATAATCTCTGAATGTCTAAGTGATCATTAAATAGACTCATACTAAATGTCTAATTGCTCATCCAATAAACTCATACTAAATCCAGTCAACAATAATGATTGTCAAACTTAAGATATTGTATTTAAAAAAAAAAAAGTAAAACCTCAACAAATTAAAATGAATTTTATTTATCAAAATGTCACTATGATGTCTGTCAACAGTTGATTCACTAGCCGGAAAAAATAATATGGAGACATTACAAAATAAAATGATCTAATAAAGCTTTAAATTTTCATCTTCTTCTCCCTCTGTCTCTGCTACGGTCGTCGCTTCTGCTGCGTTTCCTAGCCCCCCTATCCCTGCTGCGGCTCCCACTACGGTTTCTGGGGGGTCTGTCTCGACTCCGACTTCTAGCTCTGATTCCCCCCCTCCTACGGTCATCATCCCCTCGCCATGGACTTCTCTCCCTTCTTTCCTGTAAAGTTTACACAGAGACCCCAAATAAGCTAGACATAATCTCACTTAAGTCAATTAAAAAAAAAAGCATTGCAAAATATTTGCCCAGAGTCGGACAAAAAATATTACTTGTAATCTCTTAGCTGCGTTTTCTTCTCTCTCTTTCCACATTTTCTCTTGTTCCTCCTTTTCTTCCTGTTTTTTCTTCTCCCGAAGTGATGCCTGCAGAATTTCACATTTTTTCTATAGCATAATCTGGTGCATTGATTTGCAATTTGTCAGCATGAGAAGTGAGGCACTAGTCAATCTGTAAACCTTTTAACTGACAATCCATTCAAACTTAATGATTATGCTGGCATTTTACAATGTATGGCATGAAATATTTATTGGTCACAAGATGTAAATCTTTCTTTATTATCGAATGTTACCTGCTCTTCGGACAGGGGTATCCAGTAAATACATGGAGTCGTTTTTGTCTTCTTAAACAAATCATCCAGGAGCTTTGCTGGGGGTTCATCTTCAACTTTCTGGTCTACAACACAGATTAAAACAAAGAAAAATGATAAAAGTCAATATAAAGAAAAGATATTTAATTTTGGTGATTTTGTTAACAAAGTAAGTTAATTTCCGTCTCAACTATAAGAACCAGTGTCAATAGTGAATTCTTATTTAACTACTTTATATCAGACACATGTATATAATGGTATACATGTACATACATGTATATCAATAATCATGCACATGATTCTCAAATTTAATTAGCAATTGGGAGTAAACCTAAATTTAATTTCATATGCAATCCTTCCCAAAACTTTTTTCACCACTGGCCCTTAGGCCCTGCAAGTCGAGGAATATAGAACCATCTGGGAAATTAGGAACCCCTCTTCTTTCACATTTAAAAACATCAGAATTTCTAATAATCAAAATTGATTATTTACAGGTATTCAAATTTCTTGAAAAAGTAAGTATTGTTTTTCAATCGCAACTTCCTGAGCCTTTCTAATAAGAAAGTTACATTCAAGTAAGTCACCTGGTGAAATCAAAAGTATTTCTTAAAGTTAAGGGTACATTTAAAGAAAAGAAATCTACAGGCCTGTAGACTTAGCAGATTTCAAATTTGCTGGCCCCCAGCCAATTTTACTGGCCTTGGACCTCAGACCTGTCATTTTGGTAAGGCCTGCAATCATTTTTTGTTCTGTACATATATATCCTTTTAAATGAATACCTCTTCGGTCTCTCCTATTATCTTGTTCCCTACTCCGGGCCCTGCCTCTCTTGGGTGACCTTGACCTACTTCTCCCTCGTCGAGGACCCTCCTCCCTTTCCTGTGACTGTCTAATCTTGTGTCGGTCCCATTCCCTCATAGGTGGTGTCCTGCGCCTCTTTTTCTCCTCCTCTTCCTTTTTCCTAGCCTCCCTTCGTGCTTCCCTCTCAGCTCTTTCTTTTTCCTCCCTCTCCTTTCTGGTGTCCTGCTTCACCTCCTTGGTTATTACAATGGGTTTGTCTGCATTTTGGAATCTTTCCAGCTGAAAAAAAAGCATCAGTGATGTTCAATGCTCCATAATATTTCAATTAAAACTCCTTATTGCTGTATACTTATACTACTTTTGAACACAAGATGATGCAATACTGTATAGGGGGAAAATAACTCGCGGCATAAATATTCGTTATATTCACGGTGTTAATAAATCCGTGAATTCAAGAAACAGTGAATAAGTTTTTAATATTTTTTTGGAAATCTTAGTATAGGCTACAATAGGTATATTTATGTTCAGTAGTCATTCAGTAATTACGAGTGGTATTTGTCATTCAATTATTTTAATTATTACGCTTTACTTAAATCAGCAGATAAGCTATTGTTTATTAGTTGTTTTAATAGCCAATGCTACTTGTTTGATCAATGAAAACACGAGGGTCGTAGGTTTTGATTACTGATTACCCATGCGTAACTAACATTACATCCACATTTTTTTTTTGACATCTGGGTTTAAGAAAAAAAAGAAAAAATTCAATATTCAAATAACTTTCAGTTTTCGCTGCGATGTGTTTTTCCGTTGGAAAGAAAATCTTTGGGTGTACATGCACTCATTGAAGTATCATACAGAAAAGTCCTTTGACATTTATAGTCAAAAATGTTTAACAGCAATTGTTCTGATTGATTGTAAACAGGGATGGGCATGATTACTGAAAAATGTAATCGATTAATAATCGATTACTTAGAGAATTTCGTGTAATCGATTATTAATCGATTACACTCATTTTTGTCCAGTAATCGATTGTAATTGATTACTTTGAAAGATGTAATTGATTAATAATCGATTACTTCCAAGTTTTTATCCCTTCAAATATCAAAGCAATATTTAAATGGTAAATGTTGATGTTATCCACTGAAGTTTGAATGTGTTCCTGCAGTTTCAGTGCAGATTCTTTTAAGGGTTTTATTCTGGCTAACATTCTCACTAAATGCCCAAATGAGGGATTCTCTACCATGAAAAGTGGAGACATATGATTCCTACAATAAAATATGCCAAGGAATTAATTATTCCTTTCAACCTTGGGTCTGAACCTCCATATTTATTGACTTGTTGCAAAAATTATTTAATATTTTATTGTGAATTACTTCATTAGAAGTATCTGGGCTGCCGGTATGTTGACAGTACACATTAAACATTCCTGTATGTGTCTTTTTCAAAAAAAAATAAGTAGGTAAATTAGAACTCTTAGCAATAAACATGTAAATTAAATGTGTCTTTTTTTAAGTAATGAAACCAATAGCACAATTTCATTCTGTATTGAAATATGTATTTTGAGAGCTATTAATTGTTTTAATAATATTGTTTGTCTTCAATGGAATGAAAGTTAAACACTAGGTAGTTCACAGTTTACACCTCATTATCTGCAAATCAGGGATGTCTCAGTCAATAAATGAACCAATTAAGATAAGCAAACACAGTGACACACTCCCTCTCTTACAGATACTTATAACCTCTCACTGATATAAAAGAAACCTTACAATTTTGAATGAAAACATGAGAATGATTTTGCAAATTTTAAAGTTACTAAAACACAACTTTGAAGTTGTTTAAACATTTTCAGATGTGAAAAAGTATTTCTATCTTCTTTTTTTTCGAGTACAATGTAGTTTATTTACAAAATTATTTATATTAATACAGCCCTAGCACTTAAATCTGTCTTTGCTATTTATAATTTTCTATTACAAGACAAAGTTTTTCAACATCTGAAATATGAAAAAGGACATGCAGCAAGAGGACAGTGGGTCAAATGTAAAATGCACACGGAAAATATGTATATTTTATTAATAAATGGTTGAAATACAATTCTGAATTATTTAATACTAGACCAGTATGTCTATAATGCAAATTTTATTGAGAACATTATTAAACTTATGAAAATAAAAGTTAGGAAATCCAAACATTACACTAGGTGGTTTATATTTGATATTTATGTGTGACTGATTGGAAATAATTCTCCAAAATAACACCCATTTATGTATAAAATAATCGAAAGTAATCGAAAAAGTAATGATAATTACATTGAAAAGTTTAGCTGTAATTGATTAAATTACGATTGCAAGTAATCGAAAATCTCTTTGATTACAGATTACTGTCAATTACTTGAAAAAAGTAATCATTACAATCGATTACGATTACTCGATTATGATTACCCCATCCCTGATTGTAAATTAATTACCAAATCTAACCACTTTATTCAAACCTCCTTGAGTATTGTTTATGAAAGGAATTCATTATGATGATAAATGTCTTTCTGGCTATACTGGATCACCCTGGTCAACGCGTTATCGGCTATTCGGTTGTTATCGGGCATTCGGTGGATAACAACTTTCGACAGGTTATTAAATTGTTGCAAATAAACACTATAAAAATAGAAACAGAGACTGTTGATTGTGCTTTTTGTGAACAAGAATGAATACAGATACAAAATAAAGCCCCAGTATATCCTATTATAGTATTTGTAAGTCTTGAGAAGACTTTAAAAGTCAAATTTGTTATATTTTGCAAGTTTTTGGCCGATTGGCATTGCTGCATATAGCCCCTCTCTTCAGAATCCTTATATTTACCTCACATTAATTATCGTCCACAATATGACATCGTCAGAATCTCGCAAAGATGTGATTAAAGGGTAAAAATAGCCCTTTTTTAACTTTCAGGATGTTATCGGAAATGTGGTTGAATGGTTCAATTTGTTATCGGAAATTTCGGTTTTAGTTATCGGAAACAAAGGTTGTCATAGGTTAGGAAAAATCTAAAGAAACAACAGAAATCTTCATTAAATCTAAATATTTAAAGTGGCAAGAACACAATTTTAATTTTTGGATATCATTTGTCTCTTTTAGGAATATGTAACTTTAAGAAAAGGGGTGTTTTTTGATCATGAATGTTTTGGCATATCTCATAGTCACCGAAATGTGTATGATCTTGACCTGTTTGAAAATATCGTATTAGTTAATTCTCTGAATTATAAATCTCTGTTGTAACTAAAATACAAATGCCAAATTTATTTATTGAGATTCTTACGTTGCATTATGCGCAATATAAAAGCATTGCAATAATTGCTAAATTCACAGTAATTCACTCTTAGTTTTCTGTGTGTTGCCTTCCAGTTACGCACTGTTCTTCGCTTATGTCTCTGTTTTCCTTGCTTCGTTTTTATTCCTTGACTTTGCATTTTTGATCTCCCCTTAACAGTCGTTGTTCCTTTTGTTAGAACTAAGTACATACATGTATTAGTTTGGTATAAAGCAATTAAAGAATCTAAACTCAAGGGTGGTTAAATGAATTTTCCAAAAGGGTGTTAGACAAAATATAACCAAGAATTCCAACTTTTGAGAAAATAGATTGACTTTACTAGTTTACAAAAGCGTTACTGATGGAGAGAAACTATTTTTAATGAAATATAAAGATAACTTATTCAAGTTCAAAAGTCTATTGAAACAGTATACATTTGGAGCAGAGTAATCACGGAACTCTAACAACATCAGATGTTGTTTCAGGGGCAAAGAAGGGACAAGCATCTATGTCGACCGATCACACCCGCGGAGTGCTCTTTGTCATTATCGGCCGAATGGAAAATCCGTAGACAATTCAATGTGTAGGTGGAGCTCATATTCGGATTTCCGATAGGGGTGTCGGGGAGGTTCGGACCTCACCTGGAATTTACATTTATATTGAATATTTATAGTAAAGCAAATGAAAAAGAAAAGAAACCTTGGCACACACCCTTCCCTATTGAAAACGCGGATCACTGTTTGTAGAAAAGGTTAAACATGTGAAGAATTGAAGTGAATCGACCAGCACCCCACCCCCCACCCCCAGGTATTTTTAACGTTTGGGAAATGAGTTCAAAGTTGTTTTTTTAAAATTTTATTTTTATTTTTATTTATTTTATTTATTTTTACTGAACAATGTTTTCGTACAAGGATAGTCTCCTTAATCTAATACATACCCAATTATAACAAGAAAGAAATATTTCTTTGCGGTATATTTGCACCTCATTTCCTCTATTTCAAACCTTAAAATGATTTGATACAAACAATGCTATCGCTCTGTATTGGACAAAACAAACTTTTAGCTCATTGGGGCACTTGAAGTGACGATGTTTTTGCAAAAATGACATAATAGATCGTAAGACCTGACTAACTAAGAAACTATAGATTTGTTGTATACATGCACATTTACGTCTGAAACCGATGGAAGCCAATAGTGGCTATCTTTAAAGGAAAACAGAAAATGATTGAACAGATAAGTAATTCTATTATAAAATAATTATAATTATTTACATGTATATCAAACAAGAGGCCCATGGGCCACATCGCTCACCTGAGCACACTGGGTAGGCAAAAGCACGAGTTCAGTATTGAAAAGATTACCACCGCGGGGGGGGGGGGGGGGGGGGGGGGGGGGGGCGGAAGGGGGGGCTTGAATTTTAAACCACCTGATGATGCTTCCATGTCAATATAACAAATGGCTTTCTTGTACTTGAGATGTTCAAAAAAAATTTCCCATATATTCCTTTGTAAAAATTTTATCCCCCATTGTGGCTCCTCCCTATCCCAGGGGTCATCATTTGAACAAATTTGAATCTACACTACCTGAGGATGCTTCCAAGATATTATAATATATATTTCTATTTTAGACTTTGATCCTCCATTGTGGCCCCACCCTACCCCCGGGGGTCATGATTTGAACAAAATAAAATCTACACTACCTGAGGATGCTTCCACATAAATATGATCAATCAGGGCTTTGCTGTTCCTGAGAAGATTTTTAAAATTTTTCCTAAATATTTCTATGTAAAACTTTGATAGTCAATCATGGCCCCGCCCTACCCCCAGGGGTCATGATTTGAACAAACTTGAATCTACACTACCTGAGGATGCTTCCAAAAAAATATGACTCATCATGGCTTTGCTGTTCTTGAGAAGAAGATTTTTGAAGATTTTTCCTATATATTTCCATGTAAAACTTTGATCCTCCATTGTGGCCCCGTCCTACCCCCGGGGGTCATGATTTGAACAAATTTGAATCTACACTACCTGAGGATGCTTCTATATTAATATGACTCATTATGGCTTTGCTGTTCTTGAGAAGAAGATTTTTAAAGGTTTTTCCTATATATTTCTATGTAAAACTTAGATCCTCCATTGTGGCCCCACCCTACCCCCGGGGGTCATGATTTGAACAAACGTGAATCTACACTACCTGAGGATGCTTCCATATAAATATGACTGATCATGGCTTTGCTGTTCTTGAGAAGAAGATTTTTAAAGGTTTTTCCTATAAATTTCTATGTAAAACTTTGATCCTCCATTGTGGCCCCGCCCTACCCCCGGGGGTCATGATTTGAACAAACGTGAATCTACACTACCTGAGGATGCTTCCATATAAATATGACTCAACATGTCTTTGCTGTTCTTGAGAAGAAGATTTTTAAAGGTTTTTTCCTATATATTTCTATGTAAAACTTAGATCCTCCATTGTGGCCCCACCCTACCCCCGGGGGTCATGATTTGAACAAACTTGAATCTACACTACCTGAGGATGCTTCCATATAAATATGACTGATCATGGCTTTGCTGTTCTTGAGAAGAAGATTTTTAAAGGTTTTTCCTATAAATTTCTATGTAAAACTTTGATCCTCTATTGTGGCCCCGCCCTACCCCCGGGGGTCATGATTTGAACAAACTTGAATCTACACTACCTGAGGATGCTTCCATATGAGTTTCATCTTTCCTGGCCCTGTGGTTCTTGAGAAGAAGATTTTTAAAAGATGCTATTAATTTTTCACTAATTCTTTATTATCTCCCCTTGAAAAAGGGCGTGGCCCTTTATTTTAACAAACTTGAATCCCCTTCACACAAGGATACTTTGTGGCAAGTTTGGTTGAAATTGGCCCAGTGGTTCTTGAGAAGAAGTCGAAAATGTTAAAAGTTTACAGACAGACAGACAGACAGACGGACGCCGGACAAAAAGTGATCAGAAAAGCTCACTTGAGCCTTCGGCTCAGGTGAGCTAAAAAACTAACAATGGACAGCTAGAAAATTTTCAAAAATCACTTAAACAAGAGGCCCAGGGGCCACATCGCTCACCTGAGCACTATGACTAGGAAAAAGCAGAAATCACTTCAATCTTGAAAGGTTGAAAAGTTTAAATATAAAAGTGGTTGGGGGGGGGGGGGGGGGTCATGAATTGAACAAATTTGAATCTACATTTTCTGAGGATGCTTCCATTTAAATATGACCAATCATGGCTTTGCTGTTCTTGAGTAGAAGATTTTTAAAGATTTAACCTATGTATTCCTATGTAAAACTTTGATCACCCATTGTGGCCCCACCCGACCCCCAGGGGTCATGTTTGAACAAACTTGAATGTACACTATCTAAGAATGCTTCCATATAAATATGACCAATCATGGCTTTGCTATTCTTAACAAATTGTTTTTTTTAAAGATTTTTACTATGTGTTCCAATGTAAAACTTTGATTGCCCATTGTGGCCCCACCCGACCCCCGGGGGTCATGATTCGAACAAATTTGTATGTACACTATCTGAGGATGCTACCATATAAATATGACCAAACATGGCTTTGCTATTCTTAACAAATTGTTTTTTTTTTTTTTTAGAATTTTTACTATGTGTTCCTATATAAAACTTTGATCGCCCATTGTGGCCCCACCCGACCCCCGGGGGTCATGATTTAAACAAATTTGAATGTACACTATCTGAGGATGCTACCATATAAATATGACCAATCATGGCTTTGCTGTTCTTGAGAAGAAGATTTTTACTATGTGTTCCTATGCAAAACTTTGATCGCCCATTGTGGCCCCACCCGACCCCCGGGGGTCATGAGTTGAATAAATTTGAATGTACACTATCTGAGGATACTTCCATGTAAATATGACCAATCATGGCTTTGCTGTTCTTGAGAAGAAGATTTTTAAAGATTTTTACTATGTGTTCCTATGTAAAACTTTGATCGCCCATTGTGGTCCCACCCGACCCCCGGGGGTCATGAGTTGAACAAACTTGAATCTACACTACCTGAGGATGCTTCCAAGTAAATATGACCAATCATGGCTTCGCTGTTCTTGAGAAGAAGATTTTTAAAGATTTTTCCTATATATTCCTATGCAAAACTTTGATCGCCTATTGTGGCCCCACCCGACCCCCGGGGGTCATGATTTGAACAAACTTGAATCTACACTACCTGAGGATGCTACCATATAAATATGACCAATGATGGCTTTGTTGTTCTTGAGAAGAAGATTTTTAAAGATTTTTCCTATATATTCCTATGCAAAACTTTGATCGCCCATTGTGGCCCCACCCGACCCCCGGGGGTCATGATTTGAACAAACTTGAATCTACACTACCTGAGGATGCTTCCAAGTAAATATGACCAATCATGGCTTTGCTGTTCTTGAGAAGAAGATTTTTACTATGTGTTCCTATGTAAAACTTTGATCGCCCATTGTGGCCCCACCCGACCCCCGGGGGTCATGAGTTGAACAAACTTGAATCTACACTACCTGAGGATGCTACCATATAAATATGACCAATGATGGCTTTGTTGTTCTTGAGAAGAAGATTTTTAAAGATTTTTCCTATATATTCCTATGCAAAACTTTGATCGCCCATTGTGGCCCCACCCGACCCCCGGGGGTCATGATTTGAACAAACTTGAATCTACACTACCTGAGGATGCTACCATATAAATATGACCAATCATGGCTTTGCTGTTCTTGAGAAGAAGATTTTTGAAGATTTTTCCTATATATTCCTATATAAAACTTTGATCGCCCATTGTGGCCCCACCCGACCCCCGGGGGTCATGATTTGAACAAACTTGAATCTACACTATCTGAGGATGCTACCATATAATTATGACCAATTATGGTTTTGCTGTTCTTGAGAAGAAGATTTTTAAAGATTTTTCCTGTATATTTCCTATGTAAAACTTTGATCGCCCATTGTGGCCCCACCCTACCCCCGGGGGTCATGATTTGAACAAACTTGAATCTACACTACCTGAGGATGCTTCCACATAAGTTTCATGTTTTCAAGCACAGTGGTTCTTGAGAAGAAGATTTTTTAATGATGCCATTAATTTTTCACGAATTCTTAATTATCTCCCCTTGGAAGAAGGCGTGGCCCTTCATTTGAACAAACTTGAATCCCCTTTACCCAAGGATACTTTGTGGCAAGTTTGGTTGAAATTGGCCCAGTGGTTCTTGAGAAGAAGTCGAAAATGTGAAAAGTTTACAGACGGACAGACGGACAGACGGACAGACGGACTACAGACAAAATGTGATCAGAAAAGCTCACTTGAGCCTTCGGCTCAGGTGAGCTAAAAACATTACGTTTGTAATTTTTAAGGATTGACAGATTATAATGGACTTTTTTCCAATCTATTTCTAAAGGTGAAGGAAACTTTTTAACCTGAGTTTCCGATAACTTACACCCATAAAAACCGAATTATCCGGCAACATCAACCTTGTTGACGATAACATGTTTTCACCTACCGAGACATTTTAGATGCCTGTTAACTAACCCTTAATTTGGATTTTTGATTTCAGTCTGCTTATCTACAGGTATATGATTGTCTATAGAATATATAAACTATTTTGTTTAATACAAAAAAATGAAATTGACTTCTACAAAAGCTAAAATGTGATGACATATTCCGAAATTTTTATAAAATATCATTTGAAAGAGTTGTAGATCTTTTGAAAGAGAGTGATTTGGTTTGTATTTTTTGCTGCTGAAAGTATAATCATATATCTGCCAAAGATCACAAACTTTGTTTGCTGGAGTACGCAATTATCCTTGAATTAAGAAATTTAAAATCACCTACGTTTTGTAAACATTGCTTTTCTTGCACCGAATGCCCGATAACAACCGAATTGCCGATAACGCGTTGAGCAGTGTGTGGATACAGAGAAGGGAGGTAGCTTTTAATTTATATCAATTCCGTGAATTCTTCAAACCGCGATCAATGTCGGAGGAGAGAAAAACGTGAAAATTACAACCCGTAAAATTAATCCCCTATACAGTACATAAAATGAAGAATTCTTTTACAAATAATGAGTTCTATATCTTTATACAGTCAAACTCATTATCTCGAAATTGAATGGACCAAGAAAAAACTGAGAGACATCCGAGGATTTGAGATATGGGGTCGAAATACATAAAAAAGAGCAGTTGGGACTTCGAACTTGCTTTGATATATCCATGGTATTTGAGATATCTATGTTCGACATACAGAAGTACAAGTGTAATTCGACGCAAAATTTGTTGCTTACAAAGTTGGTGTAAACTTTGATTTTTTAACCTCTACACATGACTGCTCTAATACAAAGTCTAGTGCAATACATACTGACAAGTGTAAATACAGAATTGTTAAATATGTACCTCCTCCTGAGAAGCGTACTCCACTCTGAGAACTTTGGGATTAGATGATGGCCATTGGGTTCCATGAAGGGCTGTTCTTGTTGCCGTGGCCTCCTCTTCCTTGTCATACTGTAAGTTTTAAAAATTATTAATTAAAAATAATTTTATCTTCTCCCCATTTCCAATTTAATAAATTACTGGCAATAAATTATCGAATAAGTGAGGTACTGTATAAAAACTTATTTCATCTTATTCAAAATTTAACACACTTAAAAAGGTCAACCACTACCGTATAACGGGTATTTTCTGCGGTTGTCCAATTTTTGCGGAATTTTGCGGATAGGACAAATCCGCAAAAATTACAATCGCAAAATATTTTTCAATATTTCTTCAGATATATATTTTATACATGCAAGTATGATAAGTGGTGCGTATGTCATCGTTAGCGAGAAAATTCGGGTGTCATCGAAATTCGAAGATTTTAGATATCAGGATTTTTCCAAAACATATTGAATTAAAACGTTGCTGTAAATAATATCAATTTAATAAGTTTATACAAAAACATCTTTTCTTGTACCTATTTCTTTATTTTATACGGATATACATGTACATATCAATGACTAAAGGAGATTTCGCAATTCATAGTCCAAACTCCGATAGCTGCAAACAACACATATTAGCTTTTCTTTCTTTCTTTAACACTTTTTTCAATCTTGTGTTTTATCTGGAGACCATAATTACTGCTTGTATACACAAAGTGGCTTGATTGTCTCGTGAATTTCACACAATGCAGACGACTGACAGGATTAGTTACGCCTCAATGCACATGGCACCTGTGATTGTACACGGTCAACTTTAGGTTACTTGATTATGCAACTGTTTGTTTGAGCTTAAAATATAAACACCAGATTAATTTTGATGGCAATTAACTATAAGTGTATTTTTTAGAATATGGCTTGGATGCATTAATTATCTATACATTAAAATATTTTAATAGATCACATAATACGTTTGTTACAATGTAGAATAAAGATTTTTTTTATTGTTGTTTGGGTGAACCGATAATTCATTTCAATTGGGACTCAACATAATTTTACAAAGACTAACTTAAAGATAGTAGTTTAGTTAAGCTTAATAGCTTAATACCAGTTCTCATGCAACTTTGATCAATATGTCTCAATGAATTTATAAAACGTAAACATGGGGCAGCTATCTGATAATTCTTAGAGATTGGTGATCATATCCAGTAAATAATTTTTTTGCGGTATAATGCAACCGCAGAAATTGAAAACGCAGAAATTAATTTTCTATCTTTTAGGGGTTAAATCGCAAAAATTTCCAACCGCAGAAAATACCCGTTATACGGTATTTAGTGCAATCATGAATTAGGATCATCAGTATTTCTGTGTAAACTTTCATATAAAATTATATTTTGGGGGTTAGTTATTCATTAAAGACAAAAGAATTGTGCCAAATTTGATTCTCATTAAGCAGTAATTTTCACTGAACACTGATATTCATAGTAACAATATTTACTGAACTGTAATAAACAACTTACAGTTACAATACAATGGGATTTGATGTTGTCAATCCAGAAGCCATTTTCCACCAAGTTTCCAGTTCTCTTCAGTAACTCCTTCAACTGGTTCAGGGTGAAAGGTCGCACCAGGTTTCTGATGTGTACCACATTGGACACTGGATTTCTGGGAGGAGATGGGCTCCTTCTGGCTGCTGTTGGTTCATCTGGTTCTATCAATGGTTTTGGTCTACTGATTTGTCTAATGATTTTTGGTTCTGTTTCTATCAAAATATAGAAAGCCAAAAAGAATGAAATATTACTTTCATATGTGAACATATAAATTTACACTTATTATTCTCAATAATTGTTCCTGCACCTATAAGCACAACCATGTGATTTCCAATCTGAAAACAATAAGAGCCCTTCCCAAACACCCAACAGTTGCCAACTTTTCATAAAGCATATGCATTTTTTTTTTCATTTCATCTAAAATTATCCCCTAAGTTAAATTCCCTCTTCTTTTTTAAAAGGCATTGTACTACATGTAAAGATATACAACGAAATCACCAATTTCCATGGGGGTTTAATTTTTGTTGTTTTCAAGGTATGAAAAGACCCACAAATTTATGTCCACCATGAAATGTAATTTTTCACATATATTATTTTTCATAAATTCTTCATCCACGAAAACAAATTCCAATGAACCTATTTTTTTGGCCTCAAACCACAAAACTCTGACACCAGGAAAATGTGTCATTTTACAGTAAGAGGTTAATAAAATAATGATCCCAAATTTTCCAAGCACCCTGGGCACCTATTGGAGCAAATAGGTAAAGCTATTCCAGTAAAAACATTTCTACTGAGGTGGATAGCCCCCCTTACTTTTCTCAGGTGAGGATTCCTCTTTTTTCTCCACTTTCCTCGCCGGCTCCTCCTGGTCACCAGTGCCTTCCCCTTGCTCCTCATCTTCACTCTCCGATTCCTTCTCCTTGTTTTCATCTTCATCCACAACCTCTCCCTCTGACCGATCATCCCCTTCATCACCCTTCTCCTCATCTTCTCGCACAACCTATTGAGTCAACATCAAAATAAAACAATGGATTTAGAATTTGTTGACAATTTAACCTTGCTTACACTGAAGCCACACTTCCTGATTGTTACATTATGCAATGTTTAATGGATGCTTAGAATTGTGATAAACTGAACAGATTTAAGCTTTTAAGCTCATGGAACTTGATGCTAAGCTTACAATTGTTCTTTGAATTTTAATCTCCTGTGGGTTTTCCTCAGGTTCATTCTCCTGATCTGAGATCCTCTCATCTGGAAGATCCAGATCCAGGACTGGCTCGGATATAGGACTGGATTTTATGTCTGGAATCAGCTCCTGTAAAAATTACAGTTTTATAATTTTTAATTCAAGTGTTTAGCATTTTTTCTTAGGATAATTTTTGATTTACATGCAGAACTCTATGTAAAATGATACTGGTGTATTTTTTCCCCTTTTTTTGAACTAATTTTTGTTGTTGTTGTTGTTGTTTTAATTAAACAAGGTTTGAAATTTGAATAAAAAGATTCATGTATACTGCTAAACAATAACATATAGAAGGATGAACCTTGAGTGACTCTGTACTGAACTCTATACTAGACAGCCTTTTATTCTTGGCCTGGGGGGTAGTGTTGCTGCTTGACCTGGCGGATCCCCATTTCCTCTTCCGAGCCGGCTTCTCATGGGGTTCCTCTTGCTTTTTCTGGTTCTTGTCATCTGCTAATCAGTAAACAATGACATGATTATATATGAATTATGAAGGCATAAGGATCGAAAACCTGGATCATATACATGCAAGAACTTCATTGTATTTTTTTTAAATGATAAAACATATCAATCATTTTGATCCTAATGACCAAGACCTTTCATCAAGTCATTGTAAAACTGAAAGTGTCTTTTCTTTATTCAACTTTTATTTCTGTGGTCAATGCACAAGTATGAAAACAAGAAATTGAAAAGAACACAAGATATTACAAAACATAAGAACCCTGACAATTATTTCTGTAATCTTGACATTGAAATTGGTTACAATGACCTTAAAAACTAATGATACCTTCCTTTAACATCCTCTATCTGTAAAGAGGCTGTGATATCAGAAGCATGTAATGTATGAACCATTATTCCTTTTTCACAATGTCAAACATCTGGTTTTAGAGTAAAATTTTGAAGGAACCATTTCAAAAATTAACTGGCACTGTATGCCAATCTAATGATCAATTTATTTTGGCATATACAGTAAAATTTGTCTAATCTCAGTAAACTGAACAATGCTGGATTCATGAAAATTGGTCCAATTAGACAAATTCTGGATTGGAGGACATTTTGAACAATTGATTTTACTGACAGGGACTTATACTTAACTTCATAATAGACAATATTCGATTATACTCAACATCCACATTAGACAAGTTATACTGTTTTTTGTTTTTTGTTTTTTTTTTGTCATAACATTTTCTCAATGTACCAGAAAATAAAAAAGCTGTTGAAAACCCACTTTTTTTATTTAAGAAAAAAAAATTATGTGCAAAAACCTGATGAGGGAACTGTTTGTTTTTCACTCTTTTCGTCTGTTCTCTCTTCCTGTGAAATATAATGAAATGAAATCCAACAATTAATCAAAATCACACAAAATGAATTTTTGTCAAACATGACTTTTTTACTTAAACTATTCCAAATATTTCTTTGCATATCAATTTAAACTGCCAGAATTCAAGTCATTGAAAATTCATTAACTCTGTATTACTGTGTTGATTATGTCTGGTTAAAAAATTTACTTTAATATTAATGTTTTTCTAATTATCTTTTTTTTTAAAATTAGGCTGGTGGTGGCCCCACCAGTCATGCATCAGTGCACACTGTACAAGCATGACTGATCATGACCTGGCCTGCTGCAACAAAAACATCACATGATTACTGAAGCAAAAATACCACCAATACTTGAGTGCTGCACTACGACTTCTGAACTATGACCTCAGTTAAGGGGTGATGCCAAAACAAACTAGTATTTCCAGCGTCTGATGCTATCTAGTCTACGAGCAATAGGGATGAACGAGAGAAGGGACGTTAAATCGGTGGATTCCCCCAAAAATAACGATAGTGTCCTGGCTTTGAATGTCTGTTAGACAAAGTGAACAATGATACAGTGGGTCATGTCCCAAAAACTTTACTGCATTCACTAGACAAACAATCCAACGAAGACAGGGTCACAAAATGTAGTGTCCCAAATTATCAGTGTCCATAGTTGTTAATAACTATGAACAATCCAACGATGACAGTTGTTATTAACTCATCCAACGATGAGACTGATGTATCCACAAAAGAAGTGGAGTTAACCATGAACATTCCAATCCCTGGTGTGGTAGTGGTCCCAAGGTGTAGCCAAAGGGTCCATAGTTGTTAATAACTATGAACAATCCATCAATGAGGCTGCATTGATCCGAAAAAAGGTGAGTAATGGAGATCACTTAATAATCCAAGGATAGTTCACAAAATAAAGTGACAAGGGTTCATAGTTGTTAATAAACTATGAACAATCCATCGATGAGGCTGCAGTGATCCGAAAAAAGGTGAGTAACGGAGATCACTTAATAATCCAAGGATAGTTCACAAAATAAAGTGACAAGGGTTCATAGTTGTTAATAACTATGAACAATCCAATGATGATTTCAGAATTTCTTAATGTTTGCAGTGTTTCTTGAAAATAAACAATCCAATAGCAGATCCAAAATTCATTTCTTGGTTGCTAACCTGGTGGCTTATACTTTAAGTAGATGCCAACAAGGCAGTTTAGTACACAGATAATCCTGTATTTTTGTGTTTATGACTGGAACAATGAATAAGAACTTGGTAGAGACTGAGGATTCTGGTACAATGAATCCTATTTCACTTTTTTTTTTTAAAAAAAAGTTCACAACATTGAGGTCAATTGCACAACACTCCTTGACTTCTTGGAATAATTTTTTTTAACAGAAAATATCCTTCAACAATGTTGGTGTCCAATGTAGAAATCATTTCAGAATAATAAATAAATATAGGAAACTATTTACTGTATAAGGAATAAACGTCCTTCTATAAGATTACATACATTCAAGTTTGTAGGATATAGGAATCTCATAGCTTAACTCAATATGGACTGCAAGGAGCTGGAAAATTTACGTCACTGGCTCAACATTTGGCTTTCGCTGTGATTACTTCAGTTAAAGTGTCAATATTTATTCTGCACATCCTATGACTTCCTGTTATTCAATCTTCCAGCTTTTTAACAACAGACTCAAAGTTGCATCATAGCATATACTGTTCGAATATGTTCAAAATGTCAGAAGTTACATTTCAATAACAGCAGCAACTTCTGTATGTATCTTGTGTACACCTTTATACATTACGGAGGTGTAGCCAGACAGTTTAATAACGATGTTGCCATGTGGCTTAAGACGTTGCCAGATCTATGTGGCAATTGGTTCGGAAGGCTGGGGCACAGGGCAATGGGTGGCTGTTTAACCCTACTAGGGATTTCTTAGTAGACGGCAGCACAGAGAACTGGGTCATCCACACGTCCTTCTTCTCTCAATGTACTATGCAGTATAAAATCTTACATCTCAGAAAAAAAGTGTACAAAAAAGGAGCAATTTCCCTTCAATTATCTTACTAGCATAAATCTTCACATACACCAACACTTCATTAAGGACCCTCTATACACTAGAGGAAAAGATCTGTTGGACACTGAGAAAATTATAGTGTGTAAAGGTGTAAATATTGAGCTTATCTATAACATTTTTAACATAGGGTACTTTGCATTTACCCCCAGGGAAAATATTCAAAGACAATTTAGTACTGATGAACAGAAATCACTGTTGTTTACGTTAGTGGGCAAATTACCTGCTAATGAAATGTTCAATCTATTCATCTTGGCCTATTAAAATGTTATGAAGGCTTGATTTGATCACAAATTAAGTAATAAATTGTACATTTCAATTTATTTTATTCTCAATCAAAGGGCAGCTTACTTTATCTGCATAAAAATACCACAAAATCAGAACGAACTCTTTAATGTGCAGTGTATAGAGGGCTCTTAAACGTATATGTGTATTGGCGAAAACAAAATATGAAATCAGGTCTTTATTAAAACTTTAATATCAAAATATTTAAATAAATTAAAATGAATGTTTTCCGGGTTGTCATCTCTATAAAACTACAAATCTTTAATAGATCTTTTTTTCAGTTATATGTTCTCTGGTTTCAATGATTGAGGTCATAAACAACAGATATTCACAGTGGACCTTTTAGCTCCTTTTCTGTAGTACTCTAGGACTAATTACAGCGATAACACCTACCTTGTCTGTGGTAGATGACACAGCATCTGACGGGATTTCCCCCTCTTCCACCTCCATTGATGTATCTCTGTAAAAAAGATAACTCCTACTGAACAAACTGATCTTTTCTCTGTTAAGTAGATTACAGAAGAAGTGTTAATAACTTGTAGTGGTAGATAAAGGTCACTTCTACAGAGAAAATTTGCACCTCTTAAGAAATGGTAATTACCATGGACACTATAAAATTAGCAACTTTTACCGGTAATGCAAATATTTGTCCATAGGAAGGAAACATGGATGGCAGCTTTGGGTATGTACATGTATATTTTTTTTTTTTCTTCCTGTGGTATAACAATAATAAGTTGGCCTGGTACATTATAAATATGAATTGTTTGTGTGACTTTGCAAAACAATTTTTTTCTTACCCTATCAGCAAGTCAGACACATCTTTTGTCTGTTTATCCTTTGATGGCTGTTCTTTTGTTGTCTACAATAGAAAAATATGTTTATACAGTGTAAATTGAAATCTTTTATTAAAGTTTCTAGTTATTCCTTGTTATAACCAAACTTTGATCCTGAAAAATTTTAACAAAAGAATGTCTGAAAACATTTTCTATCATACACCAAAGTATTTTGTGCAAAATAAAAATCTTGATGATGCCTACATTACATAGTATTCTCTAATAAACAACAAGAATATTTTGCGTCACTTACACAATCTACTTGACAAGCCAAAATTTTTTGGTATTCTCTATCAAACATCAAGAGTATTTTCCTTCACATATACAATCTTCTTGATAATGCCTAAATCTTGCAAGATCTTTAAATATTTACCTTAACCACAGACACTGTGCTACCTGGCTGCACGGGAGATGTAGACCGAGACCTGCTCCGGAACTTCTTGGGTGACCTTGACCTAGACCTGTCAGACTCTGAGTAGGATGACCTTGATGATGACCTTGAGGAGGAACTGGAAGAAGATCCCGATCTAACACTTGAAGAAGAAAAAAGCAATATTTTAAATTGAATACATTAGATGATATTATTTCTGAAACTACAGGTATGTATTTGTCCATTTACTTTAACAGGCATGTACAGGTACCTTGATCTTTTCTTTTGCTTTCTCTTTTGATCATCATCCTCAGTGTCTGATCCAGATGATGAAGAGGATGAAGACTTCTTCCTTGATCTTCCTTCTCTCTTTTCTGAAAATTAAAAAAAAAATTAGCAAATCTTCCTTCTTGTTGAAAATCATACAGATCAAACAGCAGCGTTTTGAATTTACTTAGAAAATCTTGGTGGAAAGTTTATTCCCAACAGTGAAGAGGACTGTAACAATGATTCCCAGTCAAATAACACTTTTTGGACTATATGTGTGCGTGTGTGTGGTGTGGGAGGGGGGGTATTTCTTTTTATCTCAATTCTGTTACTGGGAGATGTAGAATTAAGCATACCCCCCCCCCCCCCCCACCAGGTAGTTTTTGCTGGAATAGCCATCACATCTTTGAGGAGGTTTTACCTTTTCTTATCTCTGCTTGCTCTTTCTCCTTAGTCTCTTTCTCATCCTTTTCTTTGGCTACTTTTTCAGTTTTCTTTCTGGCTTCCTCCTTATCTTTAGCTTCTGTTTCAGCCTTTTCTTTTGCTGTCTCATCTGCTTTCTTTTTTGCTTCTTGTTCTGCTTTTTCATTAGCCTGTTTTTCAGCCTTCTCCTTAGCCTGTTTTTCAGCTTTCTCCTTTGCCTCTTTGTCGGCCTTTTCCTTAGCTTCTTTTTCAGCTTTTTCCTTAGCCTCTCTTTCAGCTTTTTTCTTTGCTTCTTTTTCCTTAGCCTCTTTTTCAGCCTTCTCTTTAGCCTCTTTTTCAGCCTTTTCCTTAGCCTCTCTTTCAGCTTTTTTCTTAGCCTCTTTTTCAGCCTTTTCTTTAGCCTCTATTTCAGCCTTTTCCTTAGCCTCTCTTTCAGCTTTTTTCTTAGCCTCTTTTTCAGCCTTTTCTTTAGCCTCTTTTTCAGCCTTTTCCTTAGCTTCTCTTTCAGCTTTTTTCTTAGCCTCCTTTTCAGCCTTTTCCTTAGCCTCTTTTTCAGCCTTTTCTTTGGCCTCTTTTTCAGCTTTTTCCTTAGCCTCTCTTTCTGCTTTTTTCTTTGCTTCTTTTTCAGCTTTTTCTTTAGCTTCTTTTTCTGCTTTTTCCTTGGCCTCCTTTTCAGCTTTTTCCTTAGCCTTTCTTTCAGCTTTTTCTTTTGCCTCCCTCTCAGCTTTTAATTTGGCCTCTCTTTCAACTTTTTCCTTAGCCTCTTTTTCAGCCTTCTCTTTAGCCTCTTTTTCAGCCTTCTCCTTTGCCTCCTTTTCTGCCTTTCTCTTTTCCTCTTTTTCTTTTTGGAGCCTTTCTTTTTCTTCCCTTTCAGCTTTTTTCTTTTCTTCCCTCTCCTTTGCTTCTCTGTCTGCTTTCTTTTTGGCCTCTTTTTCTGCTCTCTCCTTAGCCTCTTTTTCTTTAGCCTCTTTTTCAGCCCTTTCTTTAGCCTCTTTTTCAGCCTTTTCTTTAGCCTCTCTATCGGCTTTATCTTTTGCCTCTTTCTCAGATTTTTCAATCTCTAATCTCTTTTCTTCTTCTGCCTTTCTCTTTTCTTCTTTCTCTTTTTGTTGTTCCTAGTACCATAATATAAGAAATATCGAATTAATATCGAAAATATTCACTGTAGACACACTGTTTATGTCATCATGAATACTAAACAAGCATAAAACCCAACAAACAAGATATATATGTTTCTGACATTTTTGGATATTGTTATGAATCAAAAATGAGATATATGTACAGTATCTGATATTTTTTACAATGCTCTTATTAATAAAAACATTATGAGGACAAGTGTTCAGTAGGAAAATTATTTGTATCAATAAACATATAGTATACAGATTCTCTAAAGTGGATACATATATATACAGAGGGGCGCCATTGCTTCACTGAACTAAGGTAAGTACATAAATATACATGCACTTAATTTAAATTTTTCTTCTGTTGCCATTCTAAATCTGCTCAACAGTAAGCGTCCCAAACACTAGTCTTGGATGTAGCTTTTGAGGACCCAGACGGTCACCTAGAGACTATTCTACATCCCAAACTAGAAAAAAGTTTATAGTTGTGCTAATACATTTTTTGTAGAGGAAAGGAGATCTATTCAATAAAAAATGCATAACTTTGCACAGTTAAAGTCATTTTTTTTTAATTACTAACTGAAAAGTTTTCAATTTGAGTTGTACATATATTTTACTGGTATTTTTGAAACATTATATTTGAACAATCCCAATACTTAATTCCTGTATCCACAACTTCCGTTGTTTTCTCACTTTCCTCTACTATTTCTTTAAGGTCTCTAAAAAAGCACAGCTTTATCTTGTTAATAAGAGTTCTATAAATACCTCTGCTGCAGCCACTTCCTGTGTGGAGTCTCTCGAGTCTCGGGAGGTTTTCCTCCAGCGTTTGCTTCTGGAACTTCTAGAGGATTCTGGACTTTCCTCAACAGTCTGACTGACATTTGGAGTTGTCTGTAGGGCAAATAATATTAATTTTTATTTCAAGAAGATTCATCTAGTATCTCAAAGATTGTCTTGTTCATCAATGCTTTAGATCACAAGAGAAATCTTATCGTGAAATTAAGTAATTATTGCATTTCCTGAGATGTCCAAATGAAAATAACAATTCACAATGTATAAGTACAGAGAAAAGTGTCTAATCCAACACCTGAGCAATTCATTTCACTGTGAACTCTGACATTCATTTTCATTCCCATTTTACTATTTTCCATGCTCATTACACTGTGTAATCTGACACCCTGTCTATTCTGACACAAAATTTGTCTACCAGTGCATGTTGGATTAGACAGGTTTTACTGTAAAATAATGTAAAGGGAAAGACTCCATCAACAATAATGACATACTACCTTTTCTTTGACATCCCCACCATTGGATGGCTCACCCTTCCCAGTCTCTGGAAAGCTTAGTTTGGTAGGTGTCTTTGTCGGACTTGGATCACCAAAACTCTTGGATGGACTTTTCTTGGTTGGACTTGACTCGGACTCATCCTGCGAGTTACCAGATTCTTGACTGTCTTCTTCTGAAAACAAGAAAACAAAAAAAATGTCACATCAAAAAATTATACTTTATAGGTCATCTATGTGGCAGAACACAAGACTTTTACATTAAGAACAAGTTATGTATGCTTTTATGCAAACTTTTTTAAAGCTTTATTTTTACAGTATCAAGCATTGTTCACCTCATTACCTGAAAATCTTTTCTTCTGTTCCACAATTAGTTCCCTTTGTTTGGCCAAATATTGTTTGATGAAGTCATTTTCTATTGCTGCACCTTCCTGTATCTTTTTATAACAATCACTCCATATTAAAACATGGACTTTTTAACATGCAAACAGCACTTTCAGTGGATTATGTAATGAATATATCTGAGATTTCCTTCTTATGGGGACATAAACTCTGAGGATAATCATGATTAAGTTTAATGCTTGGAATTCGATCATTATAATTTTTTTTTTTTTTTCCAAAAATAGAGAATAACGGAGAATACAAAATACCTTTTGGTTTGGAACTTCATCTAAAAAACAAAACAGAATATTGAAGAGTTATAAACCTATTAATTAGAAATATTCATCTCTGTTCAATTCATTTGAGTAATTATGGGTAATACTCCCTTAAAAAGAAAACATCCTCTGTAACTGCGGTGAAAATCTAGCACTGTGTACGAAATAGAGGATAAATCTTTAATTTAAAAAATGGTGAATTTTGGTAATCTTTCTTACCAGTTGTTTCTGCATTCTGTAGTTTCTCAAATTGATAGTGCTGAAAAATATAAATGTAATACAATAAAAATCATAATTTATAATTGGTTCAAAAGACTAATAAAAACAAAAATTTTAACAAAATGTTCATTATTACAGTAAAACACATGTACATGTAGTGCAGCATTTGGGTCAGCGAAATTCACTTTGGTACTGGGCACGGATCCAAATACTTTTAACATACATGCTGTTGCTTTACGTGTGAACTTATTCACCATTTCTCCTTGGCTTTTTCTAAATATATATTTTTTATTTGACCAACAGCAGTCAGGAATGAGAATCTGAAGATTAATTTTAATTGGCCTTTATAGCCAAATGAAAAACCTTCACTTTTTGCACTGTAATTTGAATACCTTTTGAAATATTATATCCCAAACGAGCTTTTATATCCCTTCTGGGCGATTGGTCCCAACCTATATAAATCAATTTTTACCAGGTTGGGACAACTCGCCCATATGGGATATAATAGCCCATTTGGGGTATAATATCCCAAATAAGATATAAATTTACAGTGCAAAAAAAAAAAAAAAAAATTATTTTGGCTATAAATATCTAAAATTCGCATCAAGTTACTTATAAAGGAATAACATTTTTAAAGGAATAACACGTTTTTCTGTATGCCCACTGTTTAGGAGATTGATCCCGTGGAAGTTCCTAAACTTCTTGGGGATCAATCTAACAAACTGTAGGGGTGCAGAAAAACTTGCTTGCCAAAAGTTATTCCTTTTAAAGTATTTTGATGCGGATTTATGATATTTATAGCCAAAATAAAAATTTTCATTTTTTTGTACAATAAATTTATATCCCATTTGGGATATTATATCCCAAATGGGCTATTATATCCCATTCAGGCGAGTGGTCCCAACCTGTTAACGCTTTTCCTTCATAAACTTTTGTTATATTATCAATACCATTGGGGAATTATTATATCAAAACCAACTTAAAAATAACTTCTCAATTCCCTAAGTGCACTTTCTACCACAACTACACTTAGACCAGTACTTAACGGTCATAACGCAGACAGATCGCACACGTTTCGTTGTGAACCAATTTTACTCTCATGTGTTTTATATTAAACGCACCGCTTTAAGTCTCTCTATTAGGTCTTTCTTTGTTCCATTCTTAGGAAGCTTATTTTTGTCGCATTCCTTTTTAAGATCAACAACTCTGAGTTCATGTAGCGGTTTTCCTCCAACGGTAAAATCATCGTCCTCCATGTTTATTTCCAAGCTTCCTCCGGATTTCGTCGGACTTTTCCGTAGAAAATAGGTAAAAAATTCATTCTTCTGTAAATCCATTCTAATTGCAATTAAATCGCTCTTTGATTGATTATGCATCAGATTAATATTTTTTTCTAGTAAATTCTCTGAGTTTCATTATTTTTCTCTTTTATATTTTTCTTCGAGTGTTTCCGGAATTCATCGGCATTTCTCGGAAGACGGAAGTAGCAGACAGCTGAGACTGAATCAGCCAGGCACGATGGATACCATGTTAGCTGCTGTAATGAAAAACATTGCTGATGCACTTCAGTTTGATTACAATAACAAACTAGAGGTAAAATTGTTAACTTTTCTTAATATTATATGTGCTTTTTCGTGTGCTTTATTTGTTTTAAAGTTAGAAAGTCATGCTGTGCAGTCAATCTGACAGAAGTGAAAGTTCATAATCATTAATGTAATTTTACTCTTAATAAGTACCTACAGTTATGTTATATTTCCAACATTTAGAGAAATCAGTGTATGCTCAAATGCTCCTACAATACTTTTTACTTATAATATTTATTAAAAAAAAAAAACAATCCTTCATAGTCATTTTTACAGTTCATGCAGTACATTACATATTATGTTCTGTACTCTCTCATTATATGTCAATTCTGACTATGTCCATGCACAGGGGCATCTTATCCTCTCTGTTCTCTACAGCACATATAAAAATACACCATCCCTCTATACCGCCTTGAAGTTCATACTTTTCATATGGGAAACACTATTTGAGTATACATGTATTTTTATATGTGTAGTAGAGAAAAGAGCGGATAAGATGCCCCTGTGATCCAACTGCATTCAATGATATGAATCTTTTTCCCAAGGGGCCACATGACATGAATTTTTCTATGGTTTTGGTAAAGTGCTTTACCTAAAAAAAAACATTGCAACCAGAGAAGGCATGTCTTAATCAGAGCCAAGATTCACTATTTCCGATTTCAAAATAAAGTTTATAACAATGCTCAAATCTTGGAAGAAAAAGGCAATAAAACCTCTATGCTGCAACATTTTCTGTAATCTGAGTGATGTAAAAGAATCAAAATCTCAAAATTGTAAAATAAAAAATGAGGCAATCAGACAAAATTGTACTTCTCTCTATTCTGCCAGCTTCTTATGCACAAATGTGTGATCAGAGGAAATTAAGTTTGTTGGCTGGGCTCCTCAGACTTTGTATGCACGTAATTTTGCCAAACTTAGTGTAGCTAGACCTCCCCATGAAATATTTCTCCTCATGTAACTGTCATCTTCTCCATTTAGGATGCTTATGTGAAATATGCAGAATGTGTTCTCCAAATCATGACAACTCTTCTCAAAGATGTAAAAGCCAGAGGTAAAATAAACTCATAAGAATTTATAATTGTCTTGTAGGTTAGTTGTTAAGAGCTAATTTGAATTGTACATTATGAAGAAACATGTAGGTGCTGTGATGCACTAATTTGGAGATAATTGTTATTATTTTATTTGTTCTGAGAACATTTTGTAGATAAATCAATGAATTACATGCAAGAAAGTATAAAATTTATATTTTGTCACATGTTTATATGTTTTTATTTTTTAGATAACAAAGTATATATAAGTACAGAAGTTGTGAAGTTTGTCAAACTTGGAAGTCAGTGTATTGAACGGATTGCAATTGTTGTTAACAGTCTTTGTAAGGTTCTTTTTTTTTATTCTATAGAATCACATGTATGTTTTAAGATTAATGCATACCTTCTCAAATATATTGTGAGTAGAAAAGAATTCCTTGTAAAAAATGGCTTTATAATTAGAAATACTCACACTTCACTTAATTTTATGAGCTTAAGATTTAAATGAACTGTTTTCCACAAAAAGCCAGAACATCTCCAATGCCTGACCAGAAACTTCACACTGAGATGACAGCCAGCTCACATCCGAGTACAGCCACACTAGACAGGGAACCTCACACACCAGGATTTAGATTTTCTGCTCCTGTACCCCCAATACCAGAAGCTATGGACAGACCAACCTACCAGAGGTATGATAAATCAGGTCAGGGACACACATGATGAACCCATAATGTCATCTGTCATAGAAACAATAACAACTGAAACTTCACAGTTGATGAGTTTGTGCTTACATAGGGGACACCTGTCTGAGACTAATTTCAATCAAACTTGGCACAGAGCATTCAGGGGTAAAAAAGATTCAAAATTGTTCAAATGAAGGGTAATGTGCCCCTTCCAAGGGGAAATAATGAAGGGGGATTAGGGGACTACAATAAGAGATCAAATTTTGAATGGGAATATCTTGGAATAAATCTTCTTTTCAAGAATGGCAGGGCCATGTTTAGTCATATTGATATGCAGGCATCTTTAGGTAGTGCAGATTAAATTTATTCAAGTCATGACCCAGGAGGTTATGATGGCATGGACTACAATAGGATCAAACTTTTATATGGGAATGTAACAGAAAAAATAACTTCAAAATCTTCTATTCAAGAACAGCAAGGCCATGATTACCAGTAGTTATATTCATATGCAAGTATACTCAGTTAATGTAAATTTAAGTTTGTTTAAATGCTTGCCTCTGGGCAAAACTAGGGTCACAATACGGCTTCAAAATTTTTCATCATGTTCATTGGAATAAAAAGGGAAAAAAAATCTTTTAAAAATCAACCAAAGAACAGCAGGGCCAGGGTGACCTAGGTTAGCACTGGGACCCATGGGGCCCTTGTTCAATTCTATTTTTTGTTGTAAAAGTTCATTTTAAGCTCACTTGAGCTGAAAACTCAAGTGAGCTTTTCTAATCACCTGAGGTCTGTTCAACAGAGCGAATGTTCGCGAGCGCTCACCAAAATTCTTAATCTCCAACAGAAATGTTCGCAAGCGCTCGCGAACGTTTGCTCTGTTGAACAGGCCTCTGTTGTCTGTCGTCCATCCGTCTAGAAACTTTTCACATTCTTAACTTCTTCTTAACTACTGGGCCAATTTCAATTAAAATTGGCACAAAGCATTTTTGGGTGAAGGGGAGATTAAATTGTCAAAATGAAGGGTCAAGTCTCCTTAGAAGGGGAGTTAATTAAGAAAAGACAAAAATAGGCTGGGGTCATTAAAAAATCTTTTTCTCAAGAACCACAGGGCCAGAAAAGCTGAAACTTATATGGAAGCATCTTGGAGATTGTAAATTCTTAATTGTTCAAATCATGGCCCCTGGGTTAGAGTTGAGCCACATTAGGGAATCAAAGTTTTACATTGAAATATATATGAAAACTCTTTAAAAATCTTCTTCTCAAGAACCACTCGGCCAGAAAAGCTGAAACTTATGTGAAAGCATCCTTGGGTAGTGCAGACTCTTAATTGTTCAAATCATGGCCCCTGGAGGTGGGGTGGGGCCACATTAGAGAATCAAAGTTTTACATTGAAATATATAGGAAAACTCTTTAAAAATCTTCTCAAGAACCACTGGACCAGAAAAGCTGAAAGCTAAATTCTTCAAATCATGAAACCTGGGAGAGGGTTGGGGTCACAATAAGTATTACAAGGGGGATAATCTGATGAAGAATAGCAGGGCCAAAGTTACTCAAGTGAGCGTTGTGGCCCATGGGCCTCTTGTTAGAACATATTCCTCTTGATTTATCAGTTGATATGAGCTTTTAGTATGTTGGTTTACTTTTATATCCTTATTTTTGAGGACCAGACCATTGATTATTCCTCTTGGTTGATCATTTATGAAAAAATGCAAATTATGTTTATATGAATTTTGAAGGACCAGATCACTGGGACCAATGGAGATGGCTTACAGACAGAACCAACAATTGATGAGAGCTTACAAAGCCAGACAGGCCAAACTCAATGCCAGGAATGCCTTCAACCTGGTAAGTTCAGTGATTTACATGCATAAACTATCATATCAGAATTTCAACACTTGTTTTGGAATATACATACACATACAGGTTGTGTGCTTTTTTAATAGAGAGATAAAGCAAATTTAGTATTATTTCATATCAAGTAGCTTCCTGCATTTGAAAAAAATTTGTAAGTTTTGACAATCTGAAATTTTTAAAGATTTGCTGCACAAAAAGACATTTTTCAAGGCATATTATATATATTATGAAAGTCCATGTACATGTATAGACTGTATTAAAACCATTCTACAATAGAGTGTGTAAATACAGCAAAAATAACATGATCGATTGTTTGATTTTCGAAACATCTTTTTTACAGAGTCTGACATTGCAGAGAAAGATGGCAGAAAATCTAGCAATTGCTAAACTTCAGGAAGAAGCTGTATCCTTTTGTTAAAGAAGTTCTCAGAACCACTGTAATTTGGTCTTGGACAGTCTTTTTACATCGGCAGCTTGTTCGTAAATGAACTCAAGTCTTCTGGCAACAATTACTGGTCTATTAATTGACAAACATTGCCGTCTTTGGTACTTTGTTGTGCGTCAAACAACATGAATTTCAAAATGAGTGTGAAAATGGCTCTAAACAATATCATATTCTAATATAGGTTTGTGACACCACTGAAACATTCCTTAGCAATTGTTTTTAGCTTGCCAAGAAGATGCAAGAAAGACAGAAGAGGTTGGATGAACTTGCAAATCAGTAAGTGAACAGGGCTGGGATGGAAATGTTACATTGTAAAGACATGTGGGAAAATAAAAGAAAAATAAAATCATAAAATACGCTGAAAAAGCAAAAAAAAAAAAAAAAGACACAATTGTGAAAATGAAGATATTGATAAAAATGGCTGGAAAAAATACTTTGGATTTTATCAAATGTACATTCATTTTGTAGAAAATTTGGATTTTCAGACAAGGAAACCAAAGAAATTTACAAACAAGTCATGATCTATGAGCAAGATGCTGTGAGTGGACCTATTAAATGTTGTTTTTAAATTGATTTAAAGTTGAATTTTCCTGTTGCTTTTTAATGTCAAATTATCATTGTAGTATAAGATCCAAGTACTGGTAATTTGAATTTTTTTTTTTAGAAATGGTTACATAACATGCGCAAGGAACTTGAAGAAAATCCAACAGATCAGTCTGTAATTAGTAAAGTAATGAATTTAGTCCTCAGGTAAATTTTATTATTATTTTAGTAGAGGTGTAACAATACAGCAATGCATCGATCATATTGATCACAAGGGCTCACGATACACGTATCATATCGCCATGTATGTATTGTGATACAGTACAAGATAATTTTCATTGTTTTGTTTGAAACTTCTATCGTATCATTATGTAGCTTGTGATACTCAGGCCTTAATTTTTTTTGGGGGGGGGGGGGGGGGGTATTGTATTTCAACAGGTATTAAAGCTAGAAATAAAATACATAAATGTATATCTGTATAAATCTTCAATGTCATGTCAGTCTGTAATATCTGGGGTTTTTTTTGTTTTTTGGGGGGGGGTTTTGTTGTTTTTTTTTATCCAAGAAGATATGAAAATAATGTTAGATTTTTTTTTTTCACAGCTGCAAAGATCACCCTATTACTGAAAAATTGAAAGCCTACCAATTCAAAATATATGAGAGAATCTACCCTTTGGTGTCTGATAAACTTGAAGGATTAAAACGTATAACTGTTCCTTTAGACAAGAGTTTATGGCCTTCAAAGCCAGAGGTCAAGGACACATTGCAAAAAGACAAAAACAATAAAGATTCAGGAGACAATTTTGAGGAGAAAGTGAGAAGTCACAGTTTAGAGGAGACAACTCTGAGGAAAGATTCCAGTGCAACATCCTTAAGTGAAGGGGAAGATGAATCTAAAAAAGAGATGAAAACAATGGAAGAAATCAGTGAAGATGTTAAGGAGGATCTTGAAAAAGCCATGGACATGGGTGA